GGGGCTAGTAACCCCTTCTCCTGTATATATTACTAAATGTAAAAGAAGAAACTTTCTTTTATCCTTTTGGGCCACCCTGCCTCGGTGGGATACGGCCGGTGTGTTTGAAAGAAAGATATATATATATATATATATAAAAAATATATATATATATATATATATATATATAAACAAATCCCCACGTTTCCATGAGCCAATTAACTGATGTGGTAAAAAAAAGAAATAGGAAAAAAAATTGAAGCGTAAAAGCAAAAAGTTAAAGAAAAATAGGTAAAACAAGACACCACAGTTTCCATCTCACGTCAACCATCAGAAGATCTTGAAGGGACGACCATTAAAATAAAGATAAGATTAAGCAGCTGCAGCACACACACAAGGCAGTCGTCGGTGTTGTTGTCGGGGTCTGGAACAGAGCCAAGAATTAACATCTTCCTCCACCACTAGGCGCTCCCTCGGGACTCAAGGGCGGGTTTTTCCCCCCTCTCCCTCCTCCCCCCCCCCCCGTCTAGGGAACTGACTGTGACCGAGTAGTTTTAATCCCAGCGATACATCTGCTTTGCTGACTGTACAAATGTAACTGTTTGGTATGTTTTTCATGTGACTGGTGGTAATCACAGGGTATATAGCACGAGAGGTGTATATACCCTACGTATTGTACAGAGTTTCTGTCTGCTTAGTGATTAAAGTCCTGATATTAATGAACCACATGCAAACGATAAACTTTATACTAATAAAATAAATAAACTATGCTGTGAAAATTACTAGCTGGTATACACTGCATATAATATAAATATATATATATATATATATATATATATATATATATATATATATATATATAATATAATATACACAACATAGGGAGGTACCACCTCTGGACCTGTGCTGGGAATCCTCATCCTTCGAGAAAATATAATAAACTTACTTCGGGGAAAACTCAAGGTTCTCCCCGGAGCTGTTTGAATATTGTCTTCTCCTACCACCCCCTATATTCCATATTCTATGTAGACTTTAGTTAAAGACAAAATACATTGACAAAAATACAATAGGGAGTAGAACAACACAGATAACTTCTCAGAGCCTATAAATCGAATACTTTGTCCCGCTCCCCGGCGGTGGGCCGTGTGCATTTACCCTCTGGATCGCAACACTGAGTCTCTGAAAGAGGGAAACTGGCCGCTCTATGATCCTTACCCCATGTTCCAAGGATCTCCGACCCCACTGGGATGAAGTTATAGCAAGGGAGCACGCCTTCATATTTGCGAGTCTTCTGGGTCTCCCTGTAACTGGCGGCTCGACCCTCTTCAGCTTCAGAATATGGCAAGTAGGTGTCCGCCAATGTGGCGGCACAGATGTAGTCCCAGGCAATCTGCTTACCATCCTTCCAGGGTAGCACAGTGACTCCATCAGGATGCTTTTAACTTCCGCCAGACCTCTATACTTGGGTTTCCTCTTGAGATGGCAAACGGGGTTCTCTTCACGATGTCGTTGACCTCCTTATGTCTAGCTTGCTTTCCTTCTGATGTGTGACACACAAGACCACGAAGTCCTAATTGATCAGCCGTCGCCCTACCGCCAATACGCATATATTCGGTGAGTATGGGGGCGCCTAGGCGAGGAACATCACCAATCCGAATGGCCTGTGGATCGAATCGAGTGCCCAGGGAGGAATTGGAAACAACTAAAAGGAAATATCCTAAATGTGGTGCCTTCACGGCTAGGAGACGAGCTTTGTCCTTTCCTGAAGCGTTGGTGAGCATTGTGTTGGCGATTTTTTCCATGATCGGTTTGTCCCAGTGGGACTGTTTGTGCTCTTTGGGTTGAGCTGGTTTACTGGAAGAGTCTACAAGTGTCTCCCACCGCATTACTGCTTCAATGAACCTGGGGTATTGAGCTCCTACCGCACCTCTCAAGAGTTCGAGGACAATCTCCTTGACTAGACCACTGGAAACCAAACACGAGAACAGAAATGCAGGTAAAGATACCTGCCTTGCCTTGCACACCCTTATACGTCCCAGTCGCACTGGAAGAGTTGCTTGATCCCATTGCTGATCTTCCAGTGACAGATTCAGTGCCTTCTTAAGATCTCTCTTACAGAGGGACCATGACGGGAAATCATCACCAGATAGTTGATCTTATTGTCAAGTCGTAGTTTTGAAATCTTTTCACGGAATGAAATCACTAGCGATACGAGGATGACTACCGAGTGAACAGTAAAGAATAAAATCACAGATACCTCTTTTGATCAAACAAATTACCACAC